CATGCACTGTCTGTCCACTGTCTGCAGCAAAACCAGTATTCTGCAGGAAGAAATGGTCAGTTGGCCATTTTCAGTGCCGGCTGGCTACCAAAGCCTAGCCGGTGGTCCCACTTCTGGTCGATGACCATTTATCTGTGGCCGGTGACCTTCTATCCTGGCCGGTGACTTTTCAGCATGACTATGAGGTAATTCAGAGGCATCTCAAGTATTTTCACATCCCTCAGAGGTGCAGAATAGTGCAAATAGAGGCAACAGTGGCATGGCAACGGGTTTCCGAGCAAGGCGAATCGAGCATGCATCATCCAAGCATTCTGAGGCGGGGCTGCGGCCACCTTCCTTTTGTAATTAATTTGTTAATTAATTAGGGTTTGTAGTAATTAATAATTAGCTAGGATAGTTGATTTATTATTTGGCCTGTATTATTCTTTCAGACCCTCCGAGCGAGGGCGATTGTGTAATAAGTGTGTGCGAGTGTGTTTATGGCTTCCAACCCCACGTCTTTCTCCCTTTTTACTAGCTTATGATGGTTAGATTAGGGCATGTTTAAATTAGCATACTTATGTTTGCATGTTTGCATCCATTCATCTGTCTTGCATGCACCGGGCTCCACTACAACAAAAGTAATCTATGGTGACAAAAAGTGGTGAAGAAAATAAATTTTGTCACTAAATAAGAATAATTCGTGACGAATTATAAAATTTTGTCACATATAATAAAAAAATGAAACTAATAGGTGACAAAATTTATTTTCGTCAACAAATACTTTTTTTTAGGTGAGGAAAAATTAAGTTCCGTCACTGAAGGTTTTCCCGCTAATTTTTTTTGGTGGTGCCAAAATCTTGAGACTTTTGATGAGAGAAAAATTTGTCACTAATTATAAAATTATTAGTGAAGAATATACTTTCGTCGCCAATAATTTTATATATATTTTTTTTTGAGAAACTTGATTTTAAATATTTTAAGACTATTTGGTTAGAAATATATTTTTGTCAGTAATAATTTTTAATATTTTGAGACGTTTTAGTGAGAAAATTATTTTATCACTAATTTTGGAGGGAAAATTTTGACATATTGGGCGGTAATAAAAAAAAAAATAGACTACGATCTTTTTTTTTCTCTCTCTCGCTTCTTTTTTTTTATCAATTTCTCTCTCTCGCTCTCTCTCTCTCTCTCTCTCAAAACAAAACACAAGTTAATTAACTTTCTAAGTAACCTATCGTGACGAAAAGTAGTGAAGAAAATAAATTTCGTCACTAAATAAGAATAACCCGTGATGAATTATAAAATTTTATCACATATAATAAAGAGTAAAAATAATAGGTGACGATATTTATTTTCATCAACAAATACTTCTTTTTAGATGAGGAAAAATTAAGTTTCGTCACTGGAGGTTTTCTTGCTAAATTTTTTTGGGTGGCGCCAAAATTTTGAGACTTGTTGTGAGAAAAAAATTTATCCCCAATTATAAAATTATTAGTGAAGAATATATTTTCGTCACCAATAATTTTTTATATATATTTTTTTTCAAAAACTTGATTTTAAATATTTTAGTGACGAATTTTTTGAGAAATATATTTTTGTCAGTAATAATTTTTAATATTTGGAGACTTTTTAGTGAGAAAATTATTTTGTCACTAATTTTGGAGAAACATTTTGACATATTGGGCAGAAATGAAAAAAAAAATAGACTACTAACTTTTTTTAAAAAAAATTTTATATCAGTATTGCTTTCCCCTCTCTCTCTCAAAATAAAACACAAGTTAATTAGCTCTCTAAGTAACCTACACTACATGAAATTACACTTTTGGCAACCAAATTTGGCGACTAAAAAAAAATTTAGTCGGCAAAAGTTGTGGATTTGGCAACCAACAATTATATTAGTTGGCAAAAGTCACTACTCCAAAAATACTTAAAGATTACACTTATAGAAATTAAAACATGACACTTTTAATAAAAGTGTGATTGAAAAACTCAAATCAATATTTTAATCACACCTAATTTAATTAAGTAGGATAATATTTATTGATTTTTTAAGTCACTTTTTAATTAAATGTGATTATATATAATTTTTTAATCACACTTATAATTAACGTGCGATTATATATATATTAAATTTTACTTTTATATCTAATATTCCCTTATCCTTATTCTAAAGAACATGAAGCATCGTTCGAAATGTCTACAGCCTCCCCCTCTCTCTTTTCAAACCCTTATTTTGAATCTGAGGAAACCGATCGACTCACTCACCCTCTCTCTCTCCCTCCCTCTCTAAACCCTAATCTCTTTCAACGGATCGAATCAACAGTGATTCCTAAGTGATTTCGATTCATCTCAGAGAGAGGGTGAGAGATTCATCTCAGAGCGATTTCGATTTTGATTTTGGAGTTCTCTCTCTTAATTTCAAAGATCTGTCTCTCTCTGTCTCTCTCGATTTCGAAGCTCCACCACCACCACCACCACTATCTGCAGTGGCGAGAGCGAGCACCATCGTCTACTAAGGTGAGCACCGCCGTCTACAATCCTAGTTTCGTATTCTCTTCCTTCCCGTCGATTCTTCTCCTAGGGTTTTCGATCAGTGTTTTGAAGAAGTTTTTAGAAAAAAACCTGGTGAATAGCAAAGAAAATATTATTTTCGGTAAATCTAGTTGTACGGAAAAAGAAGAACAACAGTTAGTCTATGAAAGTCTTTTTTGGGGGTAATTTTTAAGCTTTATATTTTCTTCTTTTATTTATTTATTTTTTTAACGCTTAAGGGTTTAGTTTGTTGCTAATATGTACCCTGTTTTTGGAGCTATATATTATATTTTCAATTGTCTTTTTCTTTTTTCTTTTTCTCCTCCCTTCGAAGGCTGCAATTGAGTGCATGCTACTAATAATTTTCAGTGATTTGGACCACAACGGAAAAAGAAAAACAACAGTTAGTCTATGAAAATCTTTTTTGGGTAATTTTTAAGCTTTATATATATATATATATATCTAGGTTTATATATATCTGTTCTAAGCTTTATATATATTATACTTCAAATTGAATGAAAGGTGGATCTTCGGTCGTTTTGTTTCAGCTACAAATGTTGCAATCTTTCTCTTTCCATTTGTTGAAATCAACTAGATTTAAGTTGTTGCCTTATTTGTTACAATAGATCAGTTTTATGTTGATTGATAATTGGAATTTTATGGAACAAAATAGCCTAGAAACTTGGAATCAAACCAATTTCTACAGCTCAGATACATATCTTCAGTGGTCCGATTCTAATCCAAAATTTATGGAACTGTACGGACCGATTCAATCGTAGGTCCACTCCAAAACCGAATCAATCTGGTCCACGAAAACCCCTAGTTACTATAGTACAATTTATAACCCCAAATAAAACTATTCAAACCTAAAACCCTAGCCAATTAATATCCTCACAAAATCCTACCTCATGGCATTCAATCTAATACCCGATCCTCTCAAAACGATGGTTCTCTAGAAATTCTAGTACCTAGTCTTTGCAAATCAAGCAAATACAACCCTTCTTAGAAACCCAATAACCTTTCTCTACTATATTTACAAACCATAACTAACTAAATTGAATTATCTCCTTGTCTTGTGCATGAAAATGATTACCGTTCTAACTATGTTATTTTGCATAGATGTCCACCTTGATTGTGAATCCAGAATCGCTAAGTTTTTGGGAACTCTAGATTGCATATTATATCCTTATGGACTTTCCACCATGTTCAGTGCAATTCCATCTTTTTCTAAGAAGGGGGATATTATTGTTGCGTGAGTATTATCTTTACTGTTTAATTATTGATTTTCATTTGGTATGGCATAAATCTTTTATATTGTGTTTCCCTTTCTCTTTCCAAATCCCTCTCCAAATCCCCAAACCACACACAGCGTTAAGGCTACAAGGACTTTCCTACAAAGGTTACTATTGAAGAATGCATGACAAGTATTGTTCAATGGTTGACTATGTTTTATTTAGTTAGTCGTTGAAAGTGCTAATATTGTTATATGAAAACATAATGATATGTTATTGCTTTTGTATCGTTTGTTGACTAAATTTACCTGCTGTAATATGATTGTGAAAAGAGCGAAGAGGGCTAAGACTGCATATTAGCTGACTGTGTTCTGTTGATGTAAATATAATCATTTGAGTTTATATTAAGCTGTGGATATTTTATATCATGAGCTTATAATAAGCCATTCAGCTATAATAAAGATGTTGATCAATGGTTTAAATGGTTGTGCCATATTGGATCAATCACGATCAATTGGCAATTTGCTTTCTCTTTTTGTTGTTTAGTTTTTTGCGAACCTCTATTAATTTGTATTTTGGAAACATTTATGCATATACATGGTAATATGAGTAGTTATTAGCACATTTATTTGGGTCCCTTAAAATTAGCATTGGTTTGGCTTTGCAATCTGCCATGTATATGAGGTTAATTTTTTTTCTCTCTATTTTAGAGCTTTTCTTATTGATTTATTTATTTGGGCTGGGGATGGGAATTTTTTAAGGATGAGGGTGTCCACTAGGGAATACAAAATGGCCTTTATCTTTCCAGAAGTACAATTGTGTATTTCAAGCACAATGACATGGAGTCTCTACAAAGTACTTCGGAGAAAGTTACTGTAGAAAATAAGCGAGCTAAGAAGCTAAGGCGCTATATTGTGGTTGAAGCTGTGTACCGGGTATCTTTTGGCAATTATGCTTTAATTTTACTATGTTGATAACATAACTTGTAGCTTTCATCATACTAGTATTGACAATTAACAGTTTGCTTATTTACTAATACCATATTATCATGTATACCCCGCATTTCTGTTTCCCGTGCAGGATTGGGAAATGTTAATGTTTTGACAGATTTCTTCAATTTGCAAAATTCAGGTCAAATTGCTCCATTAGATGAGATCATCCGACTGAAGGAGAAATATCGTTTCCGTGTCTTATTGGATAAGAGCAACTCTATTGGTGTGCTTGGCAGTTCCGGAAGAGGTATCACCGAGCAACATGGGGTTCCGGTATGTTTTGAAGATATTTTAGATTTAGTCAGTTCATTAATTCTCAATTTGTGGTTTTATGATGGTGTTGGTACTTGGTTGTGTAGATTGAGAAGGTAGATATCATAACTGCTTCCATGGGACATTCATTGGCCACGGAAAGAGGATTCTGCCGCGTAGGAAGCGTTAGAGTCACTGCCCATCAAGTATGAAATTACCACCACTTGAAAAAGGGAACCTTGTTTGGAAGATTTTTTTTTATTATTTTTTATAATCAGAATTCCGTGTCTATGTACTTTTTTATTTACTGATTGATATTAGTGCTCTTTTTTCCTAGTTTTCTATTCTTAATTGTTGATGACATGTTACATGTTTGCAGCATCTCAGTAGTTCTGGTTATGTCTTCTCTGCTTCCTTGCCTCCGTATCTTCCAACTGCTGCTATTACTGCTATCGATGTTCTGGAGGAAAATCCTGATCTTATTACGAAACTGAACAAAAATATTGTTATACTATGCCAAGGTTTGTTTTATTTTCACTCTCTTTTAATCTATATCGAAGTGCTAGGTACTCATTGGGGATATGGTTGATGTGTCAGCTATCCTCAACTTGAGATCACTTATAAAGTGCCTATGTTACTATCTCGAAGTGACTCGGGAAAATCTTGTAGCTCCATTGGCATCAGATGAGTCAGTGTCACTGATATATTGATCTATTGTTGGATGCATGGACCTCTTAGTCTGGTTGCACATGTGATGCTTAGAGGTTATGTAAATCAACCACTTGCAGCTAGAGAAAGCATAAGAAAAATGTTAATCTGGTTGATAACGTTTATGTTTACAATTTTCTGCTTATGTTTGCAAAAAAAATTGAAAATTGGAAATAAAAACTTGTTTGGCGTTTGTTTTCATTTAAAAAATAAATAAATAAATAAAAATCAATTAGTTTACGTAAAGTTACTAAATTCTTTACACATAAAAAAGTTTTTATTTGTTTTGAAACAAGGTTTCATTCCTTCCTCCCTTCCCCACCTCCTCCTGCCACCACCCACAGCCTATCAATATTGCTAGCGACCCATCCGGCCACCACCCAAGTCACCGACCACTACTTTTGGCTGCCAGTCACCACCTCCGGCTTGTCCCTTCCACCTCTGGCCCCATTGGTCACCATCTCCGGCGAGTCCCCCTCCACCTCTGACCCCCTCCTGCCACCCCTCCCTTGTACATGTGTTTTTTTACCTTCATTCTTATAAATATATATATATATATATATATATATATATATGACAAACATGCTTAATGTTGTGTGTAAATAAAAAACAACAAATAGTCAATGTTACCAAACAGTAGGTGTTTGTGGTACTAGCTCTTCTTTATCCTGCATCTTTGCTAGCTCTTTCAAGTGTTACTGAAGGTGTTGGTTACCAATTCAGGGGTATGTGTGGCTTTCACCTTTCAGTCAAAATAGAACAACAGAACTAAATTGTTTTTATATGATCGGTCTTAACCATTTGTCTCTTATATTGGCAATTGCAGGATTGTCAAATATACACGGCCTCAAGATTGTGAGTGACGTGAAATCCCCAATCGTCTTCCTTGGACTCAAGAACTCCACAGGATCCTTGAAGAGCGACTCACAATTGCTTGAACATATTGCTAAGCAGGTAATCCAGCAGTTCTTAAATTTCTTTCACTCCTACTTTTTGGCAAGTCAATGTGAGATACTGGTTACACATTCTGATGGAATGATTTGTGTGTGTTGGAAAATTGGGCCTTTGGCTCATTTCTGTGAAATTGAAACTAGAGGAAATGAGTTTTGGCAATGTGCGAGTTGGTTTATAACTTTAGTTTTGGGAAAACCATTTTCAGGTTATGTATATATTGTATGGCATCATGATCACTTGCCTACACAATCTCGAGGTCTTAATGTTTGTGCACTTGCAGGTATTGAAGAAAGACTTAGTCTCACAAGGTTTCTATAGCAAAATCAAAGTGGGTGTCTTCTCCTTCAAACTCTTTGATTTCAAGAGAATTCTCTCTTTCATGCACCATGAATATCAATAAACGTTAATCTTATGTAACCTAAGGGTACTCTTGCTTTTACTCCCCACTACAATTCGCATAATTCGCAAATCTTATGTAACCCAAGGTTCTGTGTACTGAATTTTGATCATAACTCTGACAACACAATTTGCACAGTTTTTGGCAATTTTTGTTTTGATTACAATTTTATGCCTACATAACATTTTATGTTGATTTTTTATTATTGCTGAACAAGATGCTAGTTTCATTTAACTTTCATTGCATGCAGTAAAAGTGATGGATGATTTTTTGAGATTGGCACGAGAAAATACTGCAAAAAATTTAGAAACATGTGGTGTTCTTGTTGGTTCATTGGTAATTGGTACAAGATTTGTGAATACAAAAAGAAAACGATAACTATGTTTAGATATTTTATACTCGTGGTTACTTATGTACTTGATCACATTTTGTAGGAAAACACGGTGTTCCATATCACTACACTGATAGTCCTAAAGCAAGAGTCAACTTCAGATTCGGTAAGATAGTTTTTCTGTGTTGTGTTAATTATTGTGGTGCTGTTAGTTCTCCCCTGCTTTCTCTTCTTTCTTTTTAATTTTAAGTCTTGTATATTTCTATCTTGATATTTCAGCTTTGTCAGTTTTTGATGTTGTCAACTTGAAACTAATGAATAGCTAATTGCAAATCAAGTACCACTTTGGTATTTTTTTGGTAGAACTAAGGTTCTATGATTAAGTGATATGATATCTAAAAAAGCCAGAATAGTCCCATTTTCCATTTTGATATATTTATCATGCTTTTGCCACCGATACAAATGAAGCAACATTCCTCACCGGTTAATGTGTCCTAAAATAGAGGTGAGGTGGTTATGAAAGAATGCAATTTAAGTTAAGGGTTTTGATGAAAATAGTTTTTGATAAGTTGCAATTTTAAAACATGGGCAAAATATCGTGGTTAGTCTCAAAATATCGTGGTTAGTCTCTTGATATTTGAAAAAAAAAATAACAGTAGAATAATTTTGTTGTTGTTGTTGTTGTTGTTGTGAAAACACTTAAAAAGTCTGAGGGAACTCTCAGTCATAGCCGTTCTACAACAGTGGCATCAAATCTTATAGAAAGCTTCTGTGTGTGTCATTGATGTCGAGTCCTACCCCATACCTGCAGCATGTCATGTAGTGTCCGTGTGGGCCATTGGTTTCACGTTTGCAGTTTTTTATTTGTAGCTACTGATAATTTGAATGATACTTATCAATATATTTTTTAATGTTTAGTGTCAGACCTTGAATGAAGAAGAAATTTTTGAAGTCCAAGACAAATATTCACTTTTTCCTTTTGGGTGGATCCATGTAAGTGTTTCAGTAGCTTGAGGAAGGAAAAGCATCAACTTGAGAGTAGGGAAGAAAGCTGCAGCTGTATCTGTGTGGTTGCTGCTAGTGCTGTTTATGCAACGCTTTTCTTGGGTTTATTCTCTAGTTTTGCTTGCTTTTTCTCTCTTAAGGGTTGTGCAAGTGTATTTTATATTATTTTTGGCTACTCTATTGAATGTTCTTGTTTCCTCATGTGGCAAACGAACATTCCTTTGTGTGGTTTATTTTAGGATGATTCTCTTTATAGTTTATCAGTATGGTTTTGTTTCTCTTGTATAGCTCTACTTTTTTTAGTTTGCTTTTGTAAGGCCTGGGGAATGCCCCTTCTATATCTCTAATGTTTTTCTTATTTATTTTCTTTGCAGATTGGTTTTTGATGACGTATGGAAGGATACTTGCAAATCAAGATCAAGTTTTGAATTTTTTTTCCTAGACTAATACTTAGTTTTAGTTGCAAATCAAGATCGAGTGTTATTTATTTTTATTTTTTTTGTGGACTCCACGATAGTTCATTTTAGAATTTGCTATGATGGTTTTGTTGTTATACTTAATGGTTTATATTATTAAAGTTGTTTGATGGATATATTTTGATTTATAATATAAATTGTTTAGTGAATTTTTGTGTGGAGTGATGAATAATAGCTAGTAGATTTCTTAGTACAATTAAAAGGCTATTGGAATATGAGCAGCGATATTTGTGAAATAATAATTGAAATTGAAATTGAAATATAAAATATGGAACAAGTTTAGTGACAAATTTGTTTCGTCATTTATACTTGTTATTATGACAAAGTGATTATTCATCGCTAATAAACATTTTTTGTGACAAAATTTATTGCAGTTTATACATGGAAGTTTTCATTGATTTTGTTGTTTGGTGGCAAAATATATTTCGTCACGTATATATATATTTGCGACGAAATATATTGTCACCCATGTACGACTTTTGGAGACGAAAAATTTTGCCACCTTCACATCTTTCTGTGACGAAATTATTTCCTCATCAATGATCAACATAGGGGACAAATTTATTCGTCAACTAAAACTATAAATATGGTACTGAATAATTATTTGGTGACAAAAATGAGAATTTTTTGCGACAAAATGTTGTTTTATTGGTGACAAAAAATTTCGTCACTGAAGTAATTTCATTGGTGATAAAATTATTTTTCGTCACGGTGGTTTTTAGTGACAAACATTCAATGACGAAACCGGTGACGAAAATATTTCCTCATAAATATCTATAGTGACGAAATTAGTTCTTTGGCGACCAAAAAAATTCGTCATCCAAGACCCAATTTGTTATAGTGCTCGGCGCATCATACTAACTGCATTGTATTCCAATTCCAAGTTGAACACATGTTAGCTGTAGCATCTCATATGCCATTCTTAGGATAGCCGAGCCTATTTCTAGTTGCATTTTGCATGTGTTGCATTAGCCATCTTAACATGAACTAAGATCATGTATTGATTACTAACTAGTTTCTGTTTTGGCTCGGAGTACTCGGTAAGTGTTTATGCTTTAGCATCCTTGCATGCGTGTGAGTGACTGCCATGATAGCATGTTTACCATGAGACTAACTGCTTATGTGATATACCTGCCTGAATGCCTGTGGGTGAAGGTTGGATTATCTGAATTGGAATAGTGCATTGACTGTGAGTTTTAAGCCCACTTGAGAGTGGCAAATCATCTTGTTTTCTAAACCCACCTAAGGGTGGCAAATTCGCATTTTAGCCTACTTGCGAGTAGCAAACCGTTTCAAAAGCAAACATGAGGTGTTTGGTTCTAATTCAGGCGATCCAATCTATACTTGTATGCTGTGTGCATCACGTAGTAAATCTAGGCTAATAACCGGAATAAGAGCACATAATATTTTCAAAACTTGATATCATGGTTAGTAGAAGCCGATCTTTGATCGGGCGAGCGGGGGTGCTCACGAAGTGACCTTCTCCAATCGTACCCAAGTTCCCGAGCCGAGGCAACTTTGGTGATGACGGACATGTGGCCGTAGGCAAACAAGTCAGGGTTTCCTAAATTTTTCAAAATAAAATATTTAGGTGGCGACTCTGTATCTGGCAAAGCAGTCCATGTTTGGCACTTCTTTCAAAAAAAATCTGTTTTCAAAAATGATTTGTCAGATTTAGACTCTTTGATGATTCATCAGTCTTGCATTGCACTCTGCGAGATTAGATACAGGACCGTGACATTTGCGTCCCGAACTGTAGCGAGCCCATATAAACAAAACGGGATTCCCTCCCGGGACGTTCAGGGATGTCTACAAATATCAACAAAAGCCTTCTCTTATAATGCTTCTGCAGAGGCTTTAGAGGCATCACCACTAGCAATAGCCACAAAGTTTTACCACGATTTTCTCAAACCAACTAATCAACCAATAAACATGAAAAAAAAAAGAACAAAAAATTAGAAAACAAAAATCAAAATTATCACATAAAATACTTCACCAATTTATTTATTCTATAATGTATATTACCTTTTAACAGAGGATCTCAGCCGATTTTTAGACATCCAGTTTAAGGATTGTGTTTATTCATGGGGAAAGGCATACATCTTATTCAATGCCTTAATTTTTGGTTATGTGTCACCTTTACAAAAAATTAAATAATAATATTAAAATAATTATTTAATATGCCATCATTGAATTGGTATCTGATATGAGTTCGTGGGAACATTAAACTAATACAATTTTAACATATGAGATAGTAAATAAAAAATGGTAGATAAATGTGATCATTTCAATAATAATTTATTTATGTATCCTAGTGATGGTTGTGTATGATCACAATAATGAAAAGGAAAAGAAATTAAAAAAAAAATTAATTCATCCAATAGACTTATAACATTAAATAATTAAATCATACTTGAAAAATTATTGAATATTCTTGGAATGCCATAAAAGTATATACACATGGTACTTCTGATCAATGAGATTTAAAAAATAAAAAATGAATGGGAATGACTTTGTCTCTATCCAATTGACCAAAGTAGGTCAAGTTAATTTTGATGTCCTATTTTGGATAAGATCAAAGTACGGCTTGCAGAATGGAAGATGAAAGTGATGTCGTATGCTGGTAGAGTTACCATGATCAAGTCAGTTCTGTCTAGTCTTCCAGTTTATTACCTCTCTTCGTTTAAGATGCCTGAGTGTGTTGCTAAGATAGTGGACAGGTTGCAAGCCTCTTTTTTATGGGGAGGGCCAGATAATCAAAAAAAGGTTCATTTGGTTCGATGGGGAGAGGTTACAAAGGCTTTATACCATGGAGGGTTAGGGATCAGAAATATTAGAAAGGTGAATCTTTGTTTGTTAGTAAAGTGGTGGTGGAGATTTGGGGCTAAGAAGAAGGCTTTGTGGAGGCAGCTGATTAGCAGTCATTACAGTCAATTTTTTTTGTTGTTGTTGTTGTTGTGAAAACACTTAACAAGTCTGAGGGAACTCTCAGGCATAGCCGTTCCACAACAGTGGCATCAAATCTTATAGAAAGCTTCTGTGTGTGTCATTGATGTCGAGTCCTACCCCATGCCTGCAGCATGTCATGTAGTGTCCACGTGGGCCATTGGTTTCACGTTTGCAGTTTTTTATTTGTAGCTACTGATAATTTGAATGATGCTTATCAATACATTTTTTAATGTTCAGTGTCAGACCTTGAATGAAGAAGAAATTTTTGAAGTCCAAGACAAATATTCGCTTTTTCCTTTTGGGTGGATCCATGTAAGTGTTTCAGTAGCTTGTGGAAGAAAAAGTGTCAACTTGAGAGTAAGGAAGAAAGCTGTAGCTGTATCTGTGTGGTTGCTGCTAGTGCTGTTTATGCAACGTTTTTCTTGGGTTTATTCTCTAGTTTTGCTTGCTTTTTCTCTCTGAAGGGTTGTGCAAGTGTATTTTGTATTGTTTTTGGTTACTCTATTGAATGTTCTTGTTTCCTCATGTGGCAAACGAACATTCCTTTGTGTGGTTTATTTTAGGATGATTCTCTTTATAGTTTATTTAGTTTAGTTTATCTGTTTGGTTTTGTTTCTCTTGTATAGATCTACTTTTTTTAGTTTGCTTTTGTAAGGCCTGGGGAATGCCCCTTCTATATCTCTAATGTTTTTCTTGTTTATTTTCTTTGCAGATTGGTTTTTGATGACGTATGGAAGGATACTTGCAAATTAAGATCAAGTTTTGAATTTTTTTTCCTAGACTAATACTTAGTTCTAGTTGCAAATCAAGATCGAGTGTTATTTATTTTTGTTTTTTTTGTGAACTCCACGATAGTTCATTTTAGAATTTGTTATGATGGTTTTGTTGTTATACTTAATGGTTTATATTATTAAAGTTGTTTGATGGATATATTTTGATTTATAATATAAATTATTTAGTGAATTTTTGTGTGGAGTGATGTATAATAGCTAGTAGATTTCTTAGTACAATTAAAAGGCTATTGGAATATGAGCATCGATATTTGTGAAATAATAATTGAAATTGAAATTGAAATATAAAATATGGAACAAGTTTAGTGACAAATTTGTTTCGTCATTTATACTTGTTATTATGACAAAGTGATTATTCGTCACTAATAAATATTTTTTGTGACAAAATTTATTGCAGTTTATATTGTGTACTGAATTTTGATCATAACTCTGACAACACAATTTGCACAGTTTTTGGCAATTTTTGTTTTGATTACAATTTTATGCCTACATAACATTTTATGTTGATTTTTTATTATTGCTGAACAAGATGCTAGTTTCATTTAACTTTCATTGCAGCCAGTAAAAATGATGGATGATTTTTTGAGATTGGCACGAGAAAATACTGCAAAAAATTTAGAAACATGTGGTGTTCTTGCTGGTTCATTGGTAATTGGTACAAGATTTGTGAATACAAAAAGAAAATGATAACTATGTTTAGATATTTTATACTCGTGGTTACTTATGTACTTGATCACATTTTGTAGAAAAACAGGGTGTTCCATATCACTACACTGATAGTCCTAAAGCAAGAGTCAACTTCAGATTCGGTAAGATAGTTTTTTTGTGTTGTGTTAATTATTGTGGTGCTGTTAGTTCTCCCCTGCTTTCTCTTCTTTCTTTTTAATTTTAAGTCTTGTATATTTCTGTCTTGATATTTCAGCTTTGTCAGTTTTTGATGTTGTCAACTTGAAACTAATGAATAGCTAATTGCAAATCGAGTACCACTTTGGTATTTTTTTGGCAGAACTAAGGTTCTATGATTAAGTGATATGATATCTAAAAAAGCCAGAATAGTCCCATTTTCCATTTTGATATATTTATCATGCTTTTGCCACCGATACAAATGAAGCAACATTCCTCACTGGTTAATGTGCCCTAAAATGGAGGTGAGGTGGTTATGAAAGAAAGCAATTTAAGTTAAGGGTTTTGATGAAAATAGTTTTTGATAAGTTGCAATTTTAAAACATGGGCAAAATATCGTGGTTAGTCTCTTGATATTTGAAAAAAAAAATAACAGTAGAGTAATTTTTGTTGTTGTTGTTGTGAAAACACTTAAAAAGTCTGAGGGAACTCTCAGTCATAGCCGTTCCACAACGGTGGCATCAAATCTTATAGAAAGCTTCTGTGTGTGTCATTGATGTCGAGTCCTACCCCATGCCTGCAGCATGTCATGTAGTGTCCATGTGGGCCATTGGTTTCACGTTTGCAGTTTTTTATTTGTAGCTACTGATAATTTGAATGATGCTTATCAATACATTTTTTAATGTTCAGTGTCAGACCTTGAATGAAGAAGAAATTTTTGAAGTCCAAGACAAATATTCGCTTTTTCCTTTTGGGTGGATCCATGTAAGTGTTACAGTAGCTTGAGGAAGAAAAAGCATCAACTTGAGAGTAAGGAAGAAAGCTGTAGCTGTATCTGTGTGGTTGCTGCTAGTGCTGTTTATGCAACGCTTTTTTTGGGTTTATTCTCTAGTTTTGCTTGCTTTTTCTCTCTTAAGGGTTGTGCAAGTGTATTTTGTATTGTTTTTGGTTACTCTATTGAATGTTCTTGTTTCCTCATGTGGCAAACGAACATTCCTTTGTGTGGTTTATTTTAGGATGATTCTCTTTATAGTTTATCAGTATGGTTTTGTTTCTCTTGTATAGCTCTACTTTTTTTAGTTTGCTTTTGTAAGGCCTGGGGAATGCCCCTTCTATATCTCTAATGTTTTTCTTATTTATTTTCTTTGCAGATTGGTTTTTGATGACGTATGGAAGGATACTTGCAAATTAAGATCAAGTTTTGAATTTTTTTTCCTAGACTAATACTTAGTTCTAGTTGCAAATCAAGATCGAGTGTTATTTATTTTTGTTTTTTTTGTGAACTCCACGATAGTTCATTTTAGAATTTGTTATGATGGTTTTGTTGTTATACTTAATGGTTTATATTATTAAAGTTGTTTGATGGATATATTTTGATTTATAATATAAATTATTTAGTGAATTTTTGTGTGGAGTGATGTATAATAGCTAGTAGATTTCTTAGTACAATTAAAAGGCTATTGGAATATGAGCATAAATATAATTTTAATATATTTATGACGTCACGGTTCGATTCCGGTTCAACCCGACGGTTGAACCGGTGACCCGTTCACCCGATTATTTTTTCGGTTCACTCACCGATCCGATTTTTAAAACATTGGTTCCCTTTCATTTTTATTTCATACAATTTCATATAATATATATTATACAATTAATTAATCTGGATCTTATCCTTATAATATATTTATATTTTATATAAAAAGATATCATGTTAGCTATATACCCTTAAAAGGTGTACATATACAAATCATGCCCACTTGGCCATCTCTTCTACATATTTTTTCATGATTATGAACCCAAAATCGAGTGAATAGCAAGTTATTCATATTCGATTATTGAATAGATACGACCAATTAATTTAAATTATAAAGAAAATTTTTATCAAAAAAATATATTTTCTTTAGGGATAAAAAAATAATTTTTCTTGTGAAAATTGAACTACTAAAAAAGTCTATTCATATTTACAAAGACGATGTTTGTCTTAATTATATTTTTAAATTATAACTAAAATATAAATAAATTATAACCAAACACTACTTTTTGCACCGTAAAATATTTGTCCAACACCATATTTTTACTAACAATTACATAAAGTATAATAAAAAAAATTTGAATTATAACAAAAATAATATTATAATTAATATCATTATAAATTATAACTAAGACATTATAATAACTCATAATGAAAGATCACAAGTCATAAAAACAAAAGAAGAATATGTATAATATATGAAAAACATCATAGAATGCAACACATGATATATATGTATATATATTAAAATGAGACGAACCATAGATTATACATATATTATCACCACAACACAACACTGGTCTAGAGCGATGCATGTGTGTGGATGATAGGCAGCACATCATACGAAAGATGCTCATCATATTGGTTGGATTGTTCCATGAAGTTGATGAACACCTGAAGATTGAATGATCCCCTTATGGCTGATCAGAGCTTGTTGATTTTGTGATTGGCCATATAATGCTACCCACCTCAAAGATACTACAGTGAGCTCGAACAATACTAAAATATTACCCCAGCTCACGTCAATGCCTCTAAATATATGATTATGTTATTCAAATTTTGGAATTTTTTCTTATTAAATTAGGATTTTACAGTTATTAATTGCTACAATGGTCTCTAATTAGATTACATGAACTAAAATTAGGAACGTATAAAAATTAAATAGATAAGATTAATAGTTTAGGAATGAATTACAAACAATTAGGAGGTGGATAGCCTCTAGTTCGGGCACTCTTTGTGCCGGTGAGACTCGCCATAGGTTTTGTTTTGATGATATAAATTATTTATTTTGTTGAGAATTTCATGTATATCATTTATATAAAAATTAAGTTAATCCGATAATTATAATATATTTAATTTATCTCATTTGTCACCAAAAAATAAATGAATTATTTTTGAAAACACAATTATCGTTCATTTTTGTGGTGAAAACTGTGATAAATTGTATATATTACAATTATTAGATCGATCTAATTTTTGTATGAATAATATACACGAAATGCTTGACATAATGAACAATTCAAATTATCGAAACAGAACACACGATAGACCCCACATGCTTAAACAATTGTCTCCAATTATAGACTAGAGGCAATAAAATTCTAAAAATCTATGATAACGATTATATATATATATATATATATTATTAAAAGTAATTTTGTCCATTGGATTCCATATGAAATTTCCCTCTCTTATGTAGTTGACATTGCATATTGTTGGACTTTGATCCTTACCATATAGAATATTTTTATTACATATTTAATAATTATGAAATAGAAATATAAAATTATAATTATTTTGAATTAAAAAAAATTTATTACATGTACTGTTAAATAATATAATAAAACATATCCATTGGTTTTAAAATGGCAAATTAGGGTATTAAAGTTGGCCAATTCCATTTACTTATCCAATTAAGTTTTCTATTTATATATCGGTGTTGGTGAATGGTTCTTCTACAGCGGAGTTCAATCCACAGAAAGGTCTTCGGCAAGGTGATCCACTTTCACCTTTTCTATTCAATATTGTAGCAGAGGGCTCGAATGTTTTGTTATCCAGAGCTAAGGAGATTGGATTAGTTAGAGGTGCTATCGTTGGTCTCAATGATTTGGTTGTTTCCCATTTACAATTTGCAGATGATACTATATTATTTTGTGAAGCTGATTGGATTGAACTTATCGCCATTATGAGGATTCTTAGATGCTTTGAAATTATTTCAGGTCTGAAGATTAATTTTCAAAAAAGTGTTGTTTGTGGTGTTGGAATTTCGACCCAATTAGTTAAGGATTTCGCGGTTAGACTGAATTGTTCTTATCATGTTCTTCCCCTGGTTTATCTTGGCTTACCTTTGGGTGCTAATCTTCGTCGAAAATCAACATGGAAGCCTACTTTGGATAAGATCAAAGTACGGTTTGTAGGATGGAAGAGGAGAGTGATGTCGTATGCTGGTAGATTTACCATGATTAAGTCAGTTCTGTCTAGTCTTCCAGTTTATTACCTTTCTTTGCTTAAGATGCCTGAGTGTGTTGCTAAGTCAGTGGATAGGTTGCAAGCCTCTTTTTTATGGGGAGGGTCAGATAATCAAAGAAAGGTTCATTTGGTTCAATGGGGAGAGGTTACAAAGGCTTTATACCATGGAGGGTTAGGGATCAGAAACATTAGAAAGGTGAATCTTTGTTTGTTAGTAAAGTGGTGGTGGAGGTTTGGGGCTGAGAAGAAGGCTCTATGGAGGGGGCTGATTAGCAGTCACTACAGTCACATTAATGGATCCTATTTACCTCTGTCTGGTGTATGTCATTTTGAATCTAGAATTTGGAGAGATGTCATGTCTGTGGCTGTTACACAGCCACTAGTGGTTACTTATTTTTTGGACAATGTCAAGATTGTGGTTGGGGATGGTAGTTCGATTCTGTTTTGGTCTGATAAGTGGATCGGGCATTCAAGCTTGGAGAATCAATTTCCCAGACTTTTTGGTTTATCTACAGAGCCTCTTGGATCTTTGAAGTGGTTCGTTGATGAAAAGATTGCAAATGGTAGGTGGATTTTGACTTTTAAAAAACCTCTTCGTGCTTGGGAGGAGGAGGAATTGCTTCGTTTGCTCCAGATTGTGGGTGAAGGTCCTGAATTAAGGGTTAATAGTGAGGATCATATCAGATGGCTGCCGTCTCTTTTTGGGATTTTTCGAGTTAGATCATTGTTTGGGTGGCTTCAAGCCGATGAGGGGCATGCTCTGGAGTTGTCAAAATTTATTTGGTATAATATAGCTCCCCTAAAAGCCAAATTTTTGCTCTGGTTGGTGTGGAGAGGTAGATTAAAGACTGCTGACTTCCTTCATCGAATCGGTGTCCTAAGGGGTAACTCTGTTTCTCTGTGTGTGTTCTGTAAGTCTGTACCTGAAACTCTTCATCATATTTTGTTGCTTTGTCCCTTTGCTTGGAAGTTATGGTCTAGTGTAATTGATTGGTGGGGATCTAATTGGGTTTCCCCGAGTTCTGTTATTGAGCTGCTCCACTGGTGGTTTGGATTCAAGTTTAGAAAAAAAGAGCTCATGATCTGGAATGTTATTCCTATTGCAGTAGTATGGTCATTATGGAGGCTCAGAAATGAATGTATTTTTAGGGGAGCTCAACGAAATTTGGAGACTTTGATTGAACTAGTTAAAGTAAGAGTGGTTTACTAGGCTAAGGATCATCACATTGGTAGCATGTATTCATTTCATGATTTCATCTCTAATTTGAGTCGGATTAGGAGTTGTTTCTGAGGTGGTGTGGTGTGTGTGTTGATGTTGGCAGTTTCTTTCCATTTGCTCTGATTTTAAGGTGGTGATTGTTCCATTTGCTCTGATTTCAGTGATGCAGCTCGTAGGTAGTTGGCTTCATTTCTCAGGGGAGCTGCTGCTGTTGTTCTTGGTTGCAGCTGATGCTGGTGGTTGGTCTGAGTGGTTGGCTTGCTGCTGTTAGAGTCTGTGCAGTTCGTTGGAGGGGAGTTGCAATGCTAATGTTGCTAGTGTCTTGGTTGAAACTGCTGATATCTGGTGTTGATTGGTGGTTTGGTAGATGGCTGCCGTATGATGTTATGCAAATTGTAGGAGGGGAGTTCTATTGCTATTGCTGGTAGGGTCTTGGTTGGGGTAATTTGCTTTGGCTGGTAGTGCTAAAATGCTTTGTTGGTTGTTTTGTATGTTATTTCCTTTCTTTATTTTGTTTGTTTGTTTCTGATTGGTTTCTCACCAATCTTGGGTTAGTGCTAGCATATGAATGTGCTTCTTTTGCGGTGCCAACCTAATTGGGATCGTTAAGGTTAGCTATGACGCTTGGTGCACTCTCCCGCTTTGTTGATGTAATTTATGCATGTTTTGCTTTTTACATTAATGTAGACACCTCGTTTTTGACCGTCCTCAAGACTTAGACGTCACCGCTTGGAACACTCGGTGATTATCCATGTTTGTGTTCGTTTGGAGTTCCCGGAGGTCTCGGCTCGCGCGCCTTGCCTCAGGATCTCC